TGGCTTATTCTGTTGTAAGAAATTCCCTAGGATGAAAAGGATAAAACTTGTTCTGTAAGAAAATGTCTATTTGTAAGACGCTTAGCTTTTGAAAAACATTATATTCAATGTTTACAAAGATCCAAAACTAAAATGATCATGGCAATGATACTGTTGGAAACAAAACACTAATATTTCGGTCATCTTGAAATACAGACTAGCAAAGAAATTCCTCTTATTTCGCATTAGACCCCACTTATTTTGCAATAAATTCCTCTTCAATATTGTTAGATTCTCCTTATTTCGCCTTCAATTCCTCGTATTTTCACATTAATTCTTTGTCTTTAGCAAGCCACAGTGTCAGCCATGTTAAGGTCGTTCGTAATGAAACAGATCTATCTGTGTCTGTGAGTCTGTCTGTCTATTTGAGAGAGAGAGAGAGAGAGAGAGAGAGAGAGAGAGAGAGAGAGAGAGAGAGAGAGAGAGAGAGAGAGAGAGAGAGAGAGAGAGAGAGAGAGAGAGAGAGAGAGAGAGAGAGAGAGAGAGAGAGAGAGAGAGAGAGAGAGAGAGAGAGAGAGAGAGAGAGAGAGAGAGAGAGAGAGAGAGAGAGAGAGAGAGAGAGAGAGATTCGTCGTGGGGGGGGGGAGCAGGAGACTAAGGCCCATGTAGGGGACCTCCCCTGCCTTGGACCTCAGCCCTCGCCTTAACTAATTTTGAATGGTCTTTTCTTCTCCCCCTCTCCTCTTCCTTCTCTCCTTCATCCCCTTCTTCTGTCTACATCCTGAAGTTTGAGAAAGGATGAAAAGCTGACTTGGTGTCAATCCTGAACGGTCTTTGTACTCCGTTTGCTATTTGCTCTTTACCCTTTTCACTACCATACTGGCCTACAGTGCTCTACAAACGTTGACATCCAATATATTTTACTAATAGTTTAACTATTTTTAACCTTTTCGCTAATTACCTTCGCTATTCGAAATCTTAGCGAATGACGCGTTTGATTGTTTTTCAATAAATGATGATGATTATTATGACAATGAATTATGATTATAGAAGGGTTTACATTGATCTATATAAATCCAGATTTGCTTTGTGTTTTGTCGTTTTTCGTTGTCATTTTCTTTTATTTGGCTTAACAATTACTGTTCATAATTCAGAATAAGCAAATAAAAAACAAGAAACACTGAATGTAGTGCAACATGTTAAGTAATTTCAGAAATTAATACGTGAAAGCTGCTCAGCAATGCAAAGAACTCGATCATTTTGATTGGTAAAGGAACTCTTGCGCTTCTCTCTCTCTCTCTCTCTCTCTCTCTCTCTCTCTCTCTCTCTCTCTCTCTCTCTCTCTCTCTCTCTCTCTCTCTCTCTCTCTCTTCTGTATATAATATATTTATTATATATATATATATATATATTATATAATATATATATTATATATATATATATATATACATATATAGACACACACATATGTGTGTGTGCATGCTTGTATGTATGTATATACATAATGAGTAAAAAATACCTGCATACTCCAGAACACCTAATATCATTTAGTATACATGCCTCAAGAGTTGCGGTCAGTGACATACAAAAGAATAATAAACTGACGATTTGATATAGTTTTCATGATGATATAATGCAATCTCTAATCTAATATCACTGCAAGTACGTACCCAGTCCAGAAATCTCATTGTACGCTCTTCGGTGGTACAGGTGGTTAGAATCATGTGTTTTTTTTTAACAGTTGTTATTTCCATTTTAAAGTACGTAGCATCATACTTTACATTACTATAGTCATGCTGATGCTGATTACTATAGTCATGCTGCAAATTTTACACTTATATTCTCACTTGCACTCTTCTCTATGCTTAGGATATAACATGCAGTTTAATCTCAGCCTGAAAACTATTGCATTGATCAATTATGAGAAACACCTCAGATGGAATGGGTTAGTTCATCATCCTAAGCAAGGAGGGAGTAACAGCTGCTAGGCTTCATCAGCGGTCATGTTGTTGGCTTACACATACAAATGCATTTCCATGTGGTGTGCGATACATATATATATATATATATATATATATATATATATATATATATATATATATATATATATATATATATATATATATATTATATATATATATATATGATCTCTCTCTCTTCTCTCTCTTCTCTCTCTCTCTCTCTCTCTCTCTCTCTCTCTCTCTCTCTCTCTCTCTTTCTCTCTTCTTTTTTTTTTTAAGCGAAATCTGAGGATCTTGCTAATTTTGCGATTCAGTCATAATAGATTTAATGTTGTGTATAACTCAATATTTACTTGTAAAAGCCGACAAATTTACAAGGGCGATGCTAAGCTTTAAGAGGCACTCCCTCCCCCCCCCTCTCTCTCTCTCTCTCTCTCTCCTCTCTCTCTCTCTCTCACTCTCGTCTTTACTCCTTCAGTCCTCTCCCTCTTCCTGATTACAGTATAAAAATTACTATACAGTGATCAACGTCATTGTGAGTTTTTTCTTATCAAAGATGCGGGACGCCCACCAGGAACTGGGTAGTGGGAGTCTAGATCTCCGGTGCAAGTGGCAAGCAACAAGAGGTGTTGGCACGTTTCTCATACGTATACATTGTGTAGGACACTTTTATAAAGCAGATAACAAGGAAATTTTTCGAAACAAACATTTGTTACTCCTGACTTCGTGAGCTCGGCGACTGAACGCCTCCTATGCCATTCACTGAACCCTATTAATCAGCCGCTTCTTGTAAAGGTTTAAAAAGTTCGATCGACGTAAGTGGCCTGTGACGAGGCTGATAAGATAACGTTTCCTCTACAGCATGTGTTTATTAGTCACTCCAGGATGTCGGTTATCGCGGACACACATGTCACAGCCACACTTTTATAAAGGTAAGACAACATTGGGTTCCTCTGCTGGTTTCCTTGATGATAAATCCGTAGAAAAAAACAGTTTTTAATGTAATGTAAAACTGATGTTTTGGGCAAATGTTTCTCGTAGTTCGCGTCTTATCAGGTCCCCGATAAGGAAGTGATAAGGAGAGCGAACAATGTTTAGTAGCCTGTGTTGAGTGAACGACGAAAGGCAGTCTGTTCCGAGGTCTTATCGGTGAGCAGTCTGGGAGGAGCGACACATTAACCCGTCATTAGCGTACGATTTTGATCCTTATAGATAAAAACATGACCGCGGGTTTTCCTCTACCGAAGTGCGAGAAGGACATGAGTGGTTTGGTCGCGGCGCTGTTGCATGTTGCTCGGGAAATGAACGGCGAATGAGATCAGCGTGGGAGAATGTGCGGCCACGGCTCGCGTGAGAGTGATTACATCAGAGACCCAAATGGGGCAGAAAAATCCATCGATAATTTGAAATCTATTAAATCAGAAAGGCATGTATATTTACACACACACACATACACACGTGTATGTGTGTGTGTGTGTGTGCGTGAGTGCGAATGTGTATGTGTATATGTAGATATATATACATATGTGTGTGTGTGTATATATATATATATATATATGTGTGTGTATATATATATATATATATATATATATATTATATATATATATATATATATATATATATATAATATATATATGTGTGTGTGTGTGTGTGTGTGTGTGTGTGTGTGTGTGTGTGTGTGTGTGTGTGTGTGTGTGTGTGTGTGTGTGTGTGTGTGGATTTATTTATTTCCGTAAATACAAAATGGAATCGAATCCCAACCTGAAAATATTTTGGTCGATTTTTAGAGACAGTGACAGGGGAAAAGAACAGTGGGGAAAAAAAGGTTGCAATCAGTCACACAACAAGTGTGAGGCGCAGAAACACGTGATATTTACCACGAGGACGAAAATAACCATACAGGTTTACAAACCCATTAAACCGTATTCGAAACGCGAGGATAAAAAAAGAAGATAAAAAACGGAAAACATAAAAAACAAAATAAATCACAAGAATAAGAAATATGAGACCCCTTGGGCATTACTGTGATTCATATTATCCTTCATAATTACCCAAATAATCCATGAAAATGTAAAAAACATCCTTCTTTAGGGTTGCCGGCGCCATTATCTCCTTCAGATCCGTGGAAATGAAACAGGAAAAGGGAGAAGGACTTTGATATCCGATTTCCTGTCTATAACAGAATCACACGAAGAAGACAACAGAGCGAACCGCGACTATGCCTTCCCTCAGACGGAGAAATAAGGTACGTGAATTTTTCTGAAGTAAAATTATTAATTATTGAGATTCAAAACATTTTTTTCTTCTTTTTTTCTAATGAGAGTACTGTGATCTGGCACCAGTGGCGAGAGGGAGAGCTGTTTCCGGCTCTGATGCAATGGCGGATATTGGCCGTGATAAGCTAATCTCTCAAACTCTTTCTCTTATCTTCTTCTGTTCTGCTCGAATGCTGCTTATGGCATGCATGGCATTGCGGTGGTCGGATATTCATGTGTGGGTGTGTACATATGTACATATGTACATATGTACATATGTACATTTGTACATATGTACACATGTACATATATACAGATATATACACACACACACATACACACACACACACACACACACACACACACACACACACACACACACACACACACACACACACACACACACACACTACAATATATATATATATATATATATATATATATATATATATGTATGTGTGTGTGTGTGTGTGTGTGTGTGTGTGTGTGTGTGTGTGTGTGTGTGTGTGTGTGTGTGTGTGTGTGTATGTGTGTGTGAATATATGTGCATGTAAGTATGTATGTATACGTACACACAATTCAACGACGTCCCTTCCAGGACAAGGCGAACGCCAGCAGACTGCTCTTCGTTAACAGAATTCCCCCAGAAGAGTTGGCGGACCCTGTCGCTCTCCCCAAATACATGTCCAACAACATTAAAACGTCTAAGGTAAGAGACTTTTTGTGTCTGTCTGTGTGTCTTTGTTTTTTTTCCATTTTTTATTTCTTTCTTTCTCTCGTTATGCCTTGCTCTCTCTCTCTCTCTCTCTCTCTCTCTCTCTCTCTCTCTCTCTCTCTCTCTCTCTCTCTCTCTCTCTCTCTCTCTCTCTCTCTCTCTCTCTCTCTCTTCTCTCTCTCTCTCTCTCTCTCTCTCTCTCTCTCTCTCTCTCTCTCTCTCTCTCTTCTCTCTCTCTCTCTCTCTCTCCCTCTCTCTCTCCTCTCTCTCTCTCTCTCTCTCTCTCTCTCTCTCTCTCTCTCTCTCTCTCTCTCTCTCTCTCTCTCTCTCTCCTCCTCTCTCTCTCTCTCTCTCTTCTCTCTCTCTCTCTCTCTCTCTCTCTCTCTTTCTCTCTCTCTCTCTCTCCTCTCTCTCTCTCTCTCTCTCTCTCTCTCTCTTCTCTCTCTCTCTCTCTCTCTCTCTCTCTCTCTCTCTCTCTCTCTCTCTCTTCTCTCTCTCTCTCCCTTCTCCCTCTCTCCTCCCCTTCTCCCTCTCTCCCTCTCTCCTCCTCTTTCTCCCCTTTCTCCCTCTCCTACTTTTCTCCCTGTCTCCTCCCCTTTCGCCCTCTCCTATCTTTCTCTCTCATTTATCCATTAGCAGTATTGACAAAAACACTAGACTCATATCTACCTGTTTACGTAAGCGATACAAAACCACGAAATCGAGCACGTTTTTTTTCCTCATTTCAGTACACATTCATAAACTTCATTCCCAAGAATCTTTTCGAGCAATTTCGACGTATCGCCAATTTTTACTTCCTGTGCGTGGCCATTATCCAGGTAAGGTCAGATCTAACGAAAAAAATAGGTCAAATCTGAATTAAAAGAAAAGAAAAAAAAGTTACTGCCTTTATAAAAAAAATATATATAAAAACAAAAGTTATGGTATTTTCTTCTCTGTCTCATAATCATGATATTAATAAAATTTTTAAAAATTATTCTGATGACACTGTATTACTACGTCACTCCCCCCTCTCCCCCTTCCTCTCTCTCTCTCCAACAAGGTCAGTATCGAGAGTCCTGTGAGCCCGATGACCTCCATTCTGCCCCTCGTATTCGTCATCACGGTCACGGGGGTCAAGCAGGCCTACGAGGATTGGCTGAGACACCGGGAGGACAACAAGGTCAACAACGCCCCCGCGAGGGTCCTGAGGGAGGGGTCAATCAAGGTCAGACCGCGGCGTAGATTTATTCTTCTGATTTTATTGGAGTGAATTGCTTGATTTTAAAGTATGTTTCGAAATTTCTGATTTTGGGACCTAGTTTTTATCTATTTTGCATGTTATTTGATAGTACTTATTTCATTTTCAAATTTATTCTAATTCGATTGCAGTACATTTTGTCTGTAGACGAGGGAGAGGGTCAAGACGGCAAGACCTGTTGCGCGCGCGCGTGTGTGTGTGTGTGTGGGGGGGGGGGGCGTGTGATTTTATGTGACTGTGGGTGGGTGCTTTGTGTGTGTAAGAGTGTGCGTGGTATGTACGCAGACCTGTAAATATGTATGAACTGATAATATATAACAGCACACACATAGATGAAAAAATAACTAATCTTTCTTCCTCAGACTATACTAACGAGCCAGATCCAGGTGGGAGACATCGTGGAGGTACAGAAGGACGAGCAGTTTCCTTGCGACCTCCTGCTCCTCGCCTCGTCCAACTCAGAGGGCACTTGTGACGTCACCACCGCCAACCTTGATGGCGAAACCAACCTCAAGGTAAGTATTATGGGAACAGGATACACAGAACTATATATTGTATATATATATATATATATATATATATATATATATATATATATATATATATATATATATATATATATACTGTGTGTGTGTTGTGTGTGTGTGTGTGTGTGTGTGTGTGTGTGTGTGTGTGTGTGTGTGTGTGTGTGTGTGTGTGTGTGTGTGTATCTGTGTATACATATGTAAACACACACACACATACGTACACAAACTTTTCATCTAAACTTACTCAACGTAATCAGCTTCAGGTACATATTGATATAACGATGTCGAATATTGCAATACAAATAAACGACCCCAATGAAGAGTGAAACCTGGCGATGAATCCCGCAGACTTTCACGAGCCCTCCCGACACCCGGCACCTGGACACTCCCGAGGATCTGGCCACCATGAGAGCGCTGATCGAGTGCCAGGTAGGCTCTGTGCCATACTCCTGTTGCTGTTTGCTTTCCTTGTGTATGCTGTAAGTGGTACTGATGTTGATATCACTACAATTGCAGTTATAGATATTAGTGATGATTATTGTTATCATTGTTAACTGTGACAGTAGTATCGTTGTTATTACCTTTGTCATTATTACTGTCACCGCCATGAAGTTAGAGAATAACAAAATAATGTCAGACAAACAGCAGTATTAGTAATACAATTAGTGCACTAAATCTCCACACACAACAAATACATAAAAAATACACCTCTTCACCTAACAAACATACCGAAAATACAATCTCTTCCCAACATATACACCAAAACGCAACATATTAACCAAACTCAATACCAGTAACCTATCTCTATTCGCTCCAGCTCCCA